TCGGCCACGTGCTTTTGCTATTATCCTGCCAATACCCATGTATCCGTCAAATCATGCCAGATAACAAGAAATTATTGTTTACTACACGCCTAATAACTATATAATATTTGTAAAATGTTACGTATATCTGACACGTATGATAATACCGCGAATTATACATAATTTTTTCAGGCACTTTATTATTAAAATCATACGTATGATTGACTGAAATAGTGAACAAAAGACAATGTTTGTTACATTATATACATATTGTAAAATTAATAAAAACAAATATATAGTTAATAAATCTTGATTCACATAAGATATATATATTATGTATATATTATTAATAAATTATATACTATATATATATATATATATATATATATATATTGTAAATGACTAAAATATTCGATCTGATCTTAAATTTTATTAATACATTCAATATAGTGCACTTAAGCGTTAAATTAATAAATATGAAAATGAGCGAAATGTCGAAGATGATTATTTCTTCTATTTATTATTTACAATAAAAGATGAGATGAGAAAGTAATTACTGTATCATACAACGTCGCCATAAAATGGATAACTAACACTAATGTGAAAAAAAAAATCTAACGCACAGTAGTTCATTTAATTAAAGAATGATTAATAAAATTATTAATAAAATTAATAAGCCTGCCAATATTTTTTTAATTTACCCTTTTTTTTTAATGCCATGTAATTTAATAGATTTCATAGAATATTATTATTATCTGTTAAGTGACAAGACCATGATGTTCATTTACTCATATCAACGTTAGTAGAATGCATCAAATTATTGTCATCATCATCGTCATCATCATCACTTTGAATATTGGAAATGACAAAATCTCTGGATTCAACCCCGGTATATCCACCAATTTTATCACTAATTGATTCATTCCCTAGAGTAGTTGCTGACGGTATGTCATCGTCATCCTTATGAGATAAATTAACCGACGAGTGCATACCAAGCAAGCTGTGTTTAGATGTGTAGGCACTAAAATTAAGATTATATTAAATTTAGTTATATATAAAAAAAATTATAAATTTAAATATTGTACATAATTTTTTATACTATAATAAAAATGCTTACGAGATTGAGCGCAAATATTCTACAATTAATTGTCCAGTAGTTAATCCTACAACCTTTAAAAAGATATAAAAAGACATCACTTTAATATACATGAATTGATTTTAATTAATTAATTCATTCATTCATTCATTCATTCATTCATTGATTCATTGATTCTCACATACCACTATTATAAAAATCTGAGAATTCATGGTCATCGTAATTAACATATAAAATAGTCGAAATATTGTAGCCATTGAGTATCCAAAAGTTCTTAATAATATAGTTCTAAATCTAGGTCGATTCTTTTCATATCTTAAACTTTCTAAACGATAAGACAACAGTCTCTCTGACCAACAAAGGAGTGTGATAAACATACAGGCGGCTATGAAAGAGAATAGTGTTTTTACTTCAAATCCGGCAAAAAGGATTACCAGATAAGAATAATCTACGCCACAAATAAAAGTATATCAGAAAAATTCTTTTATAAAACATACGTAGAATGCAAAGAAAAAAAATCACTTTTTTTATTCTTTTATTCTTTATTACTTACCACTATTAAAGTATGGAGAATGTCCTGACTCTTCCATTTTTTCTGATGTCATATTATGTGACATAGTTTATAATTTATATGGTCTCTTCCTTTTGCGACGTGTGGAGGAAAACGATGAGCCGCAATCAAATATTTAAGGCTTAGCTATCTGTAAATTCAAAAGACAAGATAATTTACTTGTACGGTACGTGCCTATTTGTAATAATGTGCTATAATTTTCACGTGATATAACTCAAATTATACGAAACTATATATAACAGTATATATAATGTTTTTTTTAGTGTATCTTTTGCATGAGCCAATCATAAGCTTTATTAAAATAAGGTGCAACAAATAACCACGAAAAGAATATAAACTTTATCAAAACGTTCGTTCATTTTTATTGGCCGTGATCGTCGTCTCACCAATAAAATTAAATAAATATATTGAAGTCTTCCCTTTTTTTTTGTTTGTTTTTTTTTTTAATCATTACAATATCGAATATCAATATGAATATGCTATGATCAGCAAATTAATTAATTATACATTATTTGGTTAGTCACACCTTTTTCAAAGATATTTGGCTAAGCATTTATTTATATGAAAAAAAACATTGTCAACATACCTTAAAGAGTAAAAGAAGGCAAATAATTTCAATACGTAAAATTAAAAACATATTAAATATCGATATATAAGTCAACTAAACGAATTTAATCTTTCCAGAAAAAGTAACTACATACAGTATCTAAACTTGTGAAAGTAAATTTGAATTCGTTTTTTTTTTTAGAAGTAGAATTCGTTAAAGTGATCGTTCTATGCTCTATTACAGTACGTATTAGCTGTTAGGAATTTTGCTTATTCTACGTACGTATTCTATTGTACATCTACTAATTGCTAAGAAATCTTAAACTAGATTAAATTATTATGGATATGCCATTGCTTTTATTTGTGACCTAAGATCTTGATGTTTGATCGCTGTAATCGATAAAATCGACTTAGTCTTTTTTTAAAAACGATCAAGTTGTAAAACTTGGTATACAGAATAGTCGAGAAAGACAATCAAAAATAACTAAATACGAGCATGGATCGACTTCGTCCAACTTGAATTATAATAAATTTACTAGTGACTTGAATTCAGCTTGAATACGTAAAAATTTTTTAACAATAATGATAATACGATTAATATATTCAACGTAGTAATTATTTTCAGCTGAAATTTAATTCGTACGAACGGTAAGTGTGTTCCTACATACCTGATACGTACGTACGTACGTACGTACCAGCTACTTCAACATTTGATATCTGATACGTATCTGATATCTGATATGAACAATAACCCAATTAGCCAATGACGATAAATTAAAAGATAGCTATGTCAACTAAATTGACTGACTCAAGTCAGCATAAATCACTAACTATTGCTATATTAATATATACTGTAATTAATCAAAATAAACAAAAAAAAATAAATAAAAATAGTACGTAATTATTAGATATATATTTGATATATA